TCCTGCCATTGCGAACCTTGTCATGCGGTTACGGTTTGTGATTGAAGGCGTGCTTCGCTGCATCTCTGGCTCGATAGGCTTAGCCTCGGGAAGTAATACTACATCCCGCCTTTTCCGTGTCGCCATGGAACAACGTGAACTCATTCCAATTCGGGTGGGTAGTGCCCCGTCGGAGCTGTGTAACACATTGCTCCAGGGCCTACCCAGCTGGATCGGGGACGTACCTATCTTGGCGTATGTTACACCACCTATTGCTATCTCCGCGGATGAGGTGTTACGCGAAGTTGGCCTGGCTTTTGGCGTAGCCTCAGTGTTCCTGGAGCTACGAGACTCTGCAGGGCAGGTTATGGATGCGGTCTTCTGTCCCAGCACCATCTCTGTCTGTGCGGTTATTCCCCACCTCTCGCCTCTGAGGTGGGTCGTTACGGTGGACCTCTATTTGGATCGCTGCGCTGAACAGGCGGCATTAGAGGTAATGTTGCATCGCGATGTCCCCCCGCTGGAGGATGAAATCTGGGATGACACACTGCACTGTATACTGGAGGAACACTTTGTGCTAATCGCCACCCGTGTTCGCCGTGGTCGTCTATCGGTTCATCGCTTCTTACCGAGCCGCGCCGATATCGAGTATCGTATACCAATGGTGACTTATGTGATCGACTTGCCAACCAACTGCATGGCCGCGTTACTTGCTTTACGAGCCAATGCTAACACACCCGACATGCGGGGGCGTACGCCCCTTGCATATTCAGTGCTTGCTAATTCGCACTCGTGCACTGGCCTGCTATTGCAAGCGACAGCGGCGCTGGACCCGCCAACCGGATATAACCCTTTGCTTCTGGCGGTTGCGCGTGGTCACCGCATCATGGTGAACGCGCTGCTACATGCGAGAGCATGCCCGCACACTGTGGCACAGCATGGCAGCTTACGCGGAATCTCACCCTTCGAGCTCGCTTGCCAGTGGGTGGATGAAGATGTCCTTCGCGCTTTCCGGCTATATGGCCATGAAGTCCCCCGTGCGGCGGGTATATACCCTCCTACGAAGACGGTGCGGTTTGCCATTAGCGGCCGCGAAATTGGACGTAGCGAAGCGGGGGAGGACCATGCCTGCCTGATCCAGCACTGTCTGCAATGGCCAATGGCGGGCCTAGTTGCCCATGAATTGGACGATGAAGTCTCCATCGTATACACGTTCAATCGGCCCTTACAGGCTCTAGGTCTTCGGCGTGCTTTAGCCAGTGGCAGTCTCGCCACGGCGATGCACACCCTGGAACTGCACTCCTGCCTGTTGGAAATTCAGGAACCCACGGTCTGGGGCGAATTTGGCCTCCCTATCTATTACACTATCAGCCGACAGCTTGGCGGTGCTCTTGCAACTCTGCTGCTTGCTCGAGCCTCGCCCAATGCTCAGGCCTTGAGCTCTCGCGCCCGCCTGACTGTGCCACTGCAGTACGCCATTCGCCACCGTTGTTCAGCTCCTCGAAGCGCGAGCACACGTCCACACCACGAGCGACCTGGGAAACCCCCCTTTACATGTGGCTGCGGCGCTACGCAGTGCCCCGCTTGTGGCATTGCTGCTCGAGTACGGGGCTGGCCTGGGAATGCAGCTGAGCGATTTACGACCCCTCGTGGCCAGCTCTTTCTACCGCTCTGGCTACGGGCGTGACACGTGTCGTGTCGCCGCCCTTCTTTTCCGTTGCGCTGGTGCGGTCTCGCACCATGAAGCTGTATTGTTAGCGTCCGATATGGTCCCCCAGCTTCTTGCTGACAGCAATTGGTTTGCCCTGTTCTGCATCCAATGCTGGGTTCAACGGCACCCGGACCGCCCTTGACAGCGGGCCCAGGGCAAACGGTCTTTCCATTGCCTAGTCGACGAGCATTATTCTTTTGTATTGCTTGTTTAGCTTGCATTATCTTGGCGGTGCTCGCTCTAGGGATTGCGTCCCAACCGTTAGACTGGATAGCTTTCATCTGGTCACATCCACTTTATTTGCGTTGCGTTTCGGCTCAACGTAGAGGAGGGCGTGGCCTCTTCACAGAGACGGGAAGGGTAAATATAAGAGGGGGGGCCGCGGGTGCCTCAGGACATTGCTGCTCCAGGGCCGCGTCGTGTCCCTCTTTCATGGCGCCTCGGCATTTGCCTAAATCAGGTGCCCCGATTGGAGGACGTGTACGCTGCAAGCCGGGTAAACCTTCGGGAGCGAAGGAATGTGTTGCCAAGCATAGCCATGCCTTGCGCGCTGCCGCTCCCGCAGGGTCCGGTACGGCCAGTTCCCGCGAAGCCTTTAGTTCGCCCCTACGGCCGTACCAGCAGCAACACACCGCCCCCGGCCCTGGGGCCGCAACAGCCCTGCTGACGTCGGCGAGCGCTACCGAACCCCCGCAGCTTCTCATGCAGGCGCCAGGTGGCTCAGCCGACCAGGACGCCGCCTTTGCAGTCCGTAGTGCCAGGAATGTTGCCAGACGGCCGGCTCCGTCACGGCAGGATGAGGGTCCGCAGGCCGGCCAGCCTGCAGTGACTGTTGACAGGCCCCAAATGCAGCCCCCGGCTGACATGATCTTGGAGCTTCAAGGCTCGTGGTCTCTTCGGCTGCTGCCGGGGGCGTCCTTGCGCATTTATACAGATGCAATGGCAACGCCAGGTACTGCGTCTGTGCGCTCCCAACCCCCTAACACGCGGCTGACATACGTCGCCCACCAGTCGTTCGCCTTACCATCGACCAGCGGTCGAGTTTTCCGTCGAGATGCCAGTGGCATCGTTTCGTCTGTGCCCGAAGATCGGGCCCGAACTGACCCCCCATGTCCGCTAGGAGAAAAAGAGAGAGTGTTTTGCACAGGGTTCCTCTGCAGCGCAGTTAGGGTTTCCCAAACGCGCGCTAACGGAAATTTCGTTGGAAAATAAATGCATTGTATATTACATGCAATTCCAAATTGCACTGCCTGCGGCTTCAACCTCCGTTCGAAGAATGTCCTTCAGCATCTGAACCTTTGTGCTCCTGTATGGGGCACAGACTACAAAGGCTAATCATTGTGGGCATGATTCAGATGATGACCTCATGGCCTTGAGGTCTTCGCCCGTCTGCAAAGCAAAAGCAGATGTATAATTGCACCACGGATAGATCCCGCTTCGGCCGAAGCCCACTCCTTATGCGAGCTTCTCGCATTTGACATGATCTGCTGGGATGCAACCATACCATACAAGGATCTTTGATGATCTTAGCACGAGTTTTCGCCGGGAAGATGGCATACCTTCGCGCCAACGTCATGAGCACCGCCTGCAGCAACAAGTTAGACTGCATGGAACTTTCTTTCATGAGTTCTGTGTACACACACTTACTTATGCAGGAGTGTCCTGGTGCTCGCTGTATAACGGCACCACAGCTCCGAATGTAGCCACGTACCCCGCCAGGAAGCTGAAGTTGGTTTCCACCTCTAATCAGTATCACTCACAAGGCATCGTGAGTGTGTATATGTCCAACATGGGCACACCATCTCCAGCGACTGCACGCCGGTGTGCGGTACGGTGAGGACGGCCTTGTCCTGATCATGATCTGTATTTGTGCAGGAAGAACGACTTCTAACATGCCAGTCCTTGCTTTCACGAATCGCCGGAAGACGGGAGCTGTCGTCCGTCAAAAAAGCGTTTAGCAGATCCTCCCAAAACATCGCCAAACCGTACATGCATTAAATGATAACTGCAACGTCCTCCAGTAAGTGCCGCTCGACCACTCGACGGTCCATGGTCCCTGAACACTATATTGATTTCACTCCTGAGCTGCGACGGTAAACTTGCCGCCCTTGCCTCGTCCTGCCGGCCCTCTCGAGGGCGCAAGACCAAACAAAAAGTTGAGCTGGAGCAAAAACTTGCAAAGAAATGCGCGTGTGGCAGCAACAGCGACAGCAAACTCAAGAAGTAAAGCACTTGTATGAATGCCGAAACCATTGTATCGATCAGGGCAGAGCACATACAGGGAGGAGGACACACCCTGGCAACTCCACGCAGGGTCTTCTCCTAGACCCTCATCGCTTCTGTGCGGGGGTCGCAGGGGACTCCGCGATCTTTCTTTGTAGCCAGAGGCTTGACCACCTCATGATTCCAGGACAGGCAACAACAAAATTGGAGACAACATCTCGAAGGCAACATCGCACGAACCCCCTGCCATATGCAGACTGAGTCTGAAGCGACGAGCTGCAGCACGAAGCATTCCACCATTGCAACGAGCATGCAAAGCGAAGGTCAACAATGCAATTGATGGCATTCCAATAACTGAACCCTTCCTTTCCCGATGTTAAACGATGGACTGAGTGTCCCTTCCGATGCCCTTAAGCCCATGATGTGCCCCTACACAGAATCCAGAAGCATGGAAGATGGATTTCACACATGTGCACAGATTCTGAACTCATGGCCTGCGTACAGGATTTCAAGCAACAAAGCCATGTATGAAGCATCCGTGATCATGGAAGCCCGGGGCTACAATACAGCTCTGGCCGAGGTCAAAGGCGACCCGAGCTACCCCTAGATCCGAAACCTCGAAGCCCTACGCCCCTAATAGACGCCGACCTGAGTCCGTAAGCCCTGCGATGCCCCAAACCCCCAGGAACCCACGCTGAATCCCAAAACGCCTCCACTCCATCGACAAAGTCCCTTGTAGTTATCAGCCTCGAGGCCCTTAAGATCGGCAGCTTCTTCCAAGCTTCGCTCAACAGTCTTTTGCTTCAGAAACGGGACTCAACATGGGCACCGCGGTGCGCGGACGGCAGGGCAGGGTGGCAGTTTTGTCGCTCTTGCGTCGGCCCTTTTTTTTTGCGGTTGCAGGCGTTTGCGGCCCGCAGCAAAGCATTCGGAGCAGTCATCGGAGAGAGGCAACGAAGCACAGCAGCTCTCGAGGATGTATGTCACTATAAATATGCGTGAGGGAAGGGGTGTGTAGCTTTGACCCGGCCGTGTAACTTTGAGGGCCCACAGATCCTACTAGAGAAAAGGCCTGAGCTGGCGAGCCATGGAGCAGAACGTCTCGATTACGGGGGCTTTGAAGGAGGCTGCAGGCGTTGACGATAGATCCGTCCACTTCGTCCCACTCCTCTTCGCTATATACCTCGGGACGGTTGCGCTTGGAACAGCCATCGTGACATGGCACACAGCCCGAGCCAGAAAGGCGCGGAAAGCCCGAGAAGCCAGGGCAACCGAGCCGGTGGCCGCAACCGTGCTGGGCAATCCCAGTCCCACAGATGCAGACACGCTACTGAGCCCGCGCCGAGCGAGGACGGTGACAGGGACCCGGGTCTGGGCATGTCTGAGCCGCCAAAGGGCGGTTCAGATCTGCTTTTCTTGCACATACCTGATTTGCATGATTGCTACGGTGGTTAGTCTTGCAACAAGGACCTTGTCCAAGAACACCGGCCTGCATTGGGAGTGGTATCTGGGACTTCTAAGCCTCGCATGCCTGTGGCACTTGCTTCAGGCCCTGTGTCTGCCGAAAGAGCACGAATACTCCCGGACGGCCTTCGCCGAGGCAACGCTGGCGGGTATGGTCCCCTTCCTTTCTGACAACTTTGACACCCTGAAGGATGTCATGTTTGGAGGACTCTGCTGGCAGTCGGAGCGGCCTGGCGTCAAAGCCATGGCCTGGCTCGCCTGGCTGTACATCCCGGCGTTCCACGCGTATCTTCTGCGGAAGAAGCGGGTGCTAAACGAGCTTGCGGGACACGTCCTATCGGTGTGGACCATGGCGACGGAGACTGAAGCTGCCCAGAACCAAGAGGCCGAGCGGCCCGACTCCAAGAAAGACGGCAGCTGCCGAAGGATGTGGCACGACAAGCTGCTGCCCATTCTGTACCGGCAGACAACTCCCACGAAGCAACAAATGCTGCTGATAGAGAACGCCCCACAGGCGATCATGGCTGTAGTGTACACAGCAGCAGAAGGCGGAAGCGTGATCGTGTCAATCCTCAACATCACCGTGCCGATTCTGCAAGTGGTCGGAGGTTGGGCACTCTTCCCACGTCTGCGGGAAGCGGTGGTGCCCTGGTTCGTCAAGAAGCTGAATGCTGCCATCAGGGATGGAGATGATTTGACTTTTGGACGAATCTGGAAGGAGGCCCCTGAAGCCCTGAGTTTCAATTACAGGGATGTTGTGCAATCAATTGCTATAAGGTCTAGGCTTGAGTCGAGTTGGTTCGAGCGCCTCCCTGAAGAGGCGGACTTTCAACGGGCTCCCAAACTCCTGGCTGACGTCGCGAACGGCCTCTCCATCTTCGATGGCTTACGCCTGAACTTGGAGGACCTGAGAGGCCAGGCCCCTTGCTGTGCTTTTTTGAAACAGTCTACAAACTCACGAATCACAGCCCTTGCGAATGCCTTGCCAGGGGAGCAGGGACCACGGCACATCCAGTTCCTCAGAGAGTTGATGACGCTGGCGACCTCCGCAGACACATATCTTGCTCTGGATGACCGGGGCCTGCGCGGCGATGCGGTGGAGTTCAAGGCTCGTCTTTCCTACAGAAGCCCAAATCCTAACCTTTAACCTTGTGCGTCTTCAGGCCGTGTGCAGCTTCCTGAAGAAGGCGGTCTTTGCAGAAGAGGCCCTCCCTCTCTCTCCCTCTTCCGACAGGCTTGAGCATGAGATGCCCAGAAAAGCTGACGGAAGGTAAACCTTTCCAGGAACGACCTCGGAGCAGAGCAGGCTCAGGCAGAGACAGCCATGCAGAGCTGAGGGCCTCCGTCCGCGTTCTGGGCTTGCTAGTGATCTGCAGGGCGAACTTGCGTCTGATTCCAGCTGACAGGCCCTAGCTGAAAGCATCGCTGCCAACGGCTCCATCGTCGACTTGAAGCTGCAGGGAAATTCCTTTGGAACCACCGGCATGCAGGCCCTGTGCCGCGGTTTCACAGGGCCTTCCTTTCGGGCGAAGCCAGGGAGCCTGCTTCCCTTTTTGGGCTCCCTGCAGGATCTCGCCAAAGAAGCCCTGCGCATCCGAAGCCTCCGGCACCTCAACGTCGCTGGGAGCAGCATGGGCGTGGTCGGCTTCCAGGCTGGGCTCGTGCAGGATTTTGTGCAGTTTAGGCTCCTACTCTGCCCTCGCAGGCCTTGGTAGAGGCTTTGGCTGAGACTCCTCTGGAGTCTCTGGATGTGGGCTCCAACCATCTCGGGCCGAACTGTGCTGAGGCCTTCGCAGTAGCTTGGTGAGGTGAGGTGCAGGCAGATTGATGTAAAGCCAAGAAGCCTACGTCCTACGTACCGTGTCCTTCAGTTTGGCAGGCGCTCGCTGGGGCTCTGTGCCTTCGAAGACTCCGGCACTTCAACGCTGCTGGCAATGGGCTGGGTGCCGCCGGATTCCAGGCTGGGCTCCTGCAGAGTTTCGTTTGCTTTCGTTGTCGCTTCCGCTCTTCTCTCCAGGCCTTGGCAGAGGCTTTGGTTGAAACTTCATTGCTGGAGACTTTGGACATACACTCCAACGATCTTGGGCCGCACTGCACTGAGGCCCGAGCAGCGGCATCGTGCTAAGGTCCAGTCGTGTCAGGGGTTAGTCATCACATGGTGGCAACCCTTCATCCCCTTTGTCGGCACGGGGAGCTATTGTTAATGCTGTCAACCAAGTTGAATGAAATTCATCCATGTGGTCGGCCACTGGGAACAAAGATTGCGAGTGAAAGACAATTTCGTCGGAAGTTCAGGAAGTACAAGCGACCGAAACCATGCTCAAACCTTCCAGACGTATACAGCCACATGTGCTTCGAAGCTCGGGAGAGATGGTCTGCATCTCGTGTAGCACAATGAAGACGACCCCCAAACAACCTCAGCCGCCCGGACGCAGCTTGCCCAGCGCAGAGATTCTCAAGCGCATGCATTTCGAGAGCATTGCATGCAGACGCTGACGACGGTCCTGAGCATCGCCACTCTGAAAGACTTCCGAGCCGACCAAAATGCCTTGGCGGGTGCTATTCCCAAGGCCTGCTGTGAGCCGAGCACGTGTGTTAGCCTGGTGAATGGCAAATGCCCGTCTTTGTGCATTGCTGAGGCTGTCACTGCGGCCCAACGCAGAGAAGTCCTCCGTCACCTGAGCGTGGCCGGCAACGACCTGGGCACTGCTGGCTTCCAGGTTGGGTTGGGAATGCTTCCTCGGCTCTTGAACCACACTGGCAACGCCTCCCCTGGACCTTTGTCGCAGGACTTTGTAGAGGCACTGGTCGAGACGGGGACCCCTGTCGAGACGATCGATGTTGGCTCCAATGGCATTGGGGTGAATGGCTCGAAGGCCTGGACGAGCATGTCGATGTCCAGGCAGAGCCCGCGGTTGAGTCGACGAGTCGGCTCCATGCAGTGCCTATTCCTGACAAGTCGTACGATCTGCCCGGTGCCCCTGTCACCGCTCCGGAGCCTCATCGAAGCCGCGGCTTCGTGAACCCTATTTTGTATGCGGCATCGTCGAGAAAGTTGTAGTCAACCTTGTGGAGCGTAGTGTGCCATGTGCATGATGTGGTGTCGGATTGAGCCGTGGGAGAACCCGCCATCTCGCCTTTCTAGAGGCTTGAAATCTTCTCCCAGGGTGTCGCGCTTTCAGGCGGACATTGTCGCTGTCCGTCCGCTGGCCGATATGTGCACGTCGGGTGGAGCAAGCGTCGACACTTAGTAGGAGGAGGAGGAGGAGGAGGACGTGTTTGCAGACGAAAGGTTCTAGGTCGCGCATGTTCTCTGCTTTGAAGGCCATGAGTCATGTCACAAAGCAGATTTAATAACAGAAGCAGCTGAAGGTCATTGGGGCTGGCGGCATGATGTTTGAAGACGGCATCGCATGCTCGATCGGATGTACGCCACACGTGCAGAAGCAAGTTGCACTCCAATAATACTGGAAGCATGTCGCATGCTCCGATATATCAAGCGCCACCTTGGCATGTTCAGGCCTTGAAGAAGCTTTTGGGCACGACGACCCTCAAGGACTTCCGTGCAGCCCACAACGCCTTGGAGTATGCGGGGGCCAAGGCCGGCGACGCAAGGCGCCTTCCTCCTTCACATGTCGCCTCAGCTGCCAGGTTGTGGCAGAGCGCGTCGATGGTGAACGCTGTGCGATCGAACGACTGAGCCTTGTGGACAACGGCATCGGCACGAACGGATTCAAGGCCCTTGGAGCGCAGCGTGCCAACGTCGGCCATGAGGCATCTGCGGTTGCATTAAAGTGCCGGCCACGAAGCGCAGGCTCTGGCCTCCATTCAGCGAAATCCAGCCGTTCAGCTCCGCATCTCCGGAAACCTGCTGAACCTGGACTGGTAGGGCGGAGGCCAGAGCCGAGCAGCCTTGTGCAAAACACAGCCGTGTGTGCTCCACCGAGGCTGCCGCAGACTTGAGTCGGTGCTTCCAGCTGATGGACGTGGTGCTGGCGTCGCGTGCTGATGAGTCGAGTGCTGATGACAAAGCCGAGGAGGTGCAGCTCCGTGCCTGGGGCCTCGGTGTCAGCAGAGCTTTTCGGAAAGGTGCGTCGGGCCCTCCGAGATGGCCAAGTCGACATCTTTTGGCATTTTCGGCCAAAGCGAGAGGGTTGCAAGGCCCTGCGACGAGATCACATTGTGTTGCCAGTTCTGGCGAGAGCACGGCTTCCAGTGGACCTCCTGCTTTCCTCAGGAGCTGGCGGCAGCCTTGCAGGGCCAGTCTCGGCTCCAGGTGTTACATGTCGAGGGCCTTGGTGATGTTGAGGCGGTGGGGTGTGCTCTGTGGGTCTCGTTTGCCTTGGTCCCATTTACCCGGGCGCAGCCTCACTTCTTTGCCAGGCCGTGTTGGAGGCCCTCCAGGGCCACGCCATGCTGAAGAGCCTCGTACTCATCGAGTGCAGGTCAGACACCAAGGCATGGCGTTGAGGAATTGTTGTCCCTTTAAATGCCGGACTTTGTAGGATACGAATGATGCATCTGCTCGCTGTCGGAGGGTGACGGCATTCAACACCCTTTCGTCTACAGCAGCAAAATCCTTGTAGGATACGTGTCCAAGAGCTCAGTGAACCTACTGAAACTGGCCTCTGTGGCACTGCCTGATCGCTTTGCCTCTGGCCAGGCCCTCGGCTTCGCCCTTGATGGAAAGTCTGGTCTTGAGGAGCTGGTCTTACACAGCGTCAAAATCAACATGAAGGCCGGCGACGCAGTTTCGTGCTTGTACTGCTCCTCGTCAGGTGTCGCCACGACGGCCCAGTTAGGTGTCAGGCCCTTCGCTCGGGAAAGCAACTTCGCCGCCAGGCTCTGGCGCCCGCTCTCAAGGGCCTCTCCGCCCTGAAGGTCCTTAGTCTGCACTTCAACGATCTTGGGGCCAATGGGGCGAAGGCGCGTCGTGGGAGAACCGGTACAAGATCGAGCCGTGAAGCTGAGGGGAGATCAAGAGTGGTTTTGCATGCGCCACGAAGGTTTGGAGCATCGTGTCGTTGTTTATGACTTATGATGGGGATTTCTTGATACTGGCGATGGGGATGACTGTACCTTTGAACAATGGGCCTCGAAGCTCAGCTTTCGCACCTCGCACAAGCGCAAACGACCGCACTTCGCACAATCTTCGCTGCACTCGTTCATGGCTCTTGAGCCATCCGGCTACTGGTTTTGGAGTTCTACAATGCGCAGCGGTTTGTGCTCCTTGGTCATGTCAGGATGCGCATGTCGCCTTCAATGTAGCATTGTGTCTCGCTGATCGCAGAGCAGAGGCAAAGGCACGAGGTGCCCAAACTTCCACGAAGTATCGTGAAAGTGCTCCAAACATCCGGTTTGCTGGACTTCTGGGCTGAGCCTGGTGGCTGCAGTCTGCTTTGTGTTCTGCCAGGCCGTGGCGCCCGCTCTCAAGGGCCTCACCGCCCTGAAGGTACTTAGTCTGCGGGTGAACTTTCTCGGGGACGACGGGACGAAGGCAGGCGCTGGGAGAACCGGAAGTTAAGATCGAGCCGTGAAGCTGAGGGGAGATTCTGAGTGAATGTCAGGCCTCGCTTCGGTTACCTTGCTATGAACATGTCCACTTTAGCTTTCTGTCGGAAGGGGAGGCACTCACCTCCTCCATCCTAACTTGGGGAGAACTCGGATGTAGCTGCAGACACTCAAGACTGCGAAGAAATGACCAAAGAGGGACAAAGAGGCATATGTCGTCGTGAGCGGTCCTTCCGTTGCGTTTCTGCCGTTCGAGACTTTCCGAAAATACTGCAGTGACAGAATCCATCGGAAGCAATCTGTGAAGGCCGCCTTGAAGAGGGGCTTATGTCAACCCCTGGCCGCGACTTTCGCCCGGGTTCGGCAGCAGACGTGGCACACTGCAGCTTCCTTGCTTGCAGGTGGTGAAGGATGCCGTCGAAGACCTGCCAGCGCTTACGACGTTGGAGTTGCATTAGGCCAGGATCAGAGCGATGCGGATGTGAAGACAGGCTTTTTGGGGCCGAGGGCTCTGGAGTGCCGAAGCCGAAACCTCCTCAGCGTTCCCACACCTTTCCATCGCCGCATTTGCCAGGGACTGATTGAGCCGAGCATGTGGCAATGCTCCTGTCACAGCTGAGCCACCGGGGCGTCCGTCTGGATTGGGAAAAGAGGGGGCCCGGTAAAGACAGCGAGAAATACTCAAAGTCCATACAGTCTCATGACCATGATGCCTATCTTTATCATCGCTGTCTTCGGTGGGAAGAGGGTAGAGTGCTTTTCTGGCATGCTCCGGGGCTAAGGCAGTGCTTCAGCTTTGGGTTAAGATGAGGGGCGGGTGCTCGACGGGGAGCCTCAGCCGCCCACAAACAAGCCAACACTCGAGGCCTACGTTCTCGCGTCTGCACCGAGAGCTTGCGTGCACTTTTTTGCGGACGGCTCAAGGCCTGGAAGACTGGGAGCCCCTACCTCACCAACGGGCGGTCCTGACATCCTGTACCATTCAACAGTCAGTATTATGAGCTGGTATTATATACCTAGCTAAAACTTTCAACCCAAAGCATCTGCAGCCACAGCCCAAGAGCACCACTTCTGTGAGAAGTCGTCATGCGTCTCGTCCAAGCCTTGGACTCCGCGGAGCACACTAGAGGACATTCGACGGGCTAGATTCTTGCTTTCTTTCCGCGTTTTCCCTCCCCTCCCCCTCCCTATATAACTCTCCTTGGCTTCCCTCCCTTCCCTTCCTTGCCCTTCCAGTTGCCCTTCGTTACTTGTTCGTTTCCTCTGCTCTGCCCTTTTCCTGCTTCTCTTTTCATGCTTTCTTCTCCACTTCCCTGCTCTCTTCCTTTTCTTGCCCTCTCCCTGTCTTTCTGTCTCTCTGTGTCGCTGTCTCTCTGTCTTTCTGTCTCCCTGTCTCTCGGTCTCTGTCCCTCGGTCTCTCTGTCTCTCGGTCTCTCTGTCTCTCGGTCTCTCTGTCTCTCTGTCACTCTGTCTGTCTGTCGCTCCGTTTCTCTGTTTCTCTTTCTCTCTTTCTCTTCTTTCTCTCATCTCTGCTTTCTCTCATCCCGCTTGGTTTCCCTCCGTCTCTCGTTTTGTCCGTTTCTCTCTAGCTCTCTGTCTCTCTCTCTCTCTGTCTTTCCCTCTGTTACCCTCCCTTTCTTTCCAGTTACTTCTGTGCCTCGGTCTTTCTGTCTCTCCGTCTCTCTGTCTCCTTGTCTCTCTGTTTTATGTCTCTTTAGTCTTTTGTTCCTCCGGCCTTAGAGCCCCAAACCCAGGCGCGAAAAATGTTGTTTTTTGTATCCTTAAAGATTGTTTTGCTCCTTCGACCTTAAGCCTCCCAAACCCAGGGTGTGAACAAAGCTTTGTATGGCCGGTTAGGTTGTTTCTGCCTCCTGAAATACTCTTCTGTTCATTCTGCCATGGACCCCAGACCTTGAGGATCTGAGCGGGGCGCGAACTAAAGACCCCAAACGAGAAAGTTAGCATGAGGAGCCTTGTCGGTGTGTGCAAACAGCACCGCCCCAATCCTGAGACCATTTAAACAAATGCCAGAAGACCCCGCAGGAGGGTTTGGAGATGTTTAAGGTTTAGGGTTTGAGAGTGGCCCCTGCATTCTAGGACGACGCCTCATGCAACGTGCGGTCTTGGGATCAAATCGCCACAAGTAGAAACTTGTAGTGCCCTGCAGAGAACCCCTGAAGGAACCCTTGACGGGACCCGCGAACCCCAAACCTCGGAAGCGCGAGGAGATCCGGCTGGAGTTTGGTGAAAAGTTCCACGGTGGGAGGAGCCTGTGCCCAGCGTTTTCCTCCGAGAGCGAATAAAAGGAATTGCATGTCCGATTCTGTGCATCTTGAGCTGAGACGCTGCCGTGGGCGAATCACCATCAAACGGCATGACGGTTTCCATGGAACCAATTTCTAGGTGATCCTGTGAAAACTTTATTTTGCATATGTTCGCCGTCATACTTCAAACAGTCGTGCCGTGTTTTTCGTCACTATGGCATGATTTTTCGTTCCTCTCGTTTGAGTTCGCTCGACTTCTCTAGTTAAGGCCAGCTTCGAGATTCCAGCTCAAAGTCCAACAGCAAGACGTGACAAGAAGCGAACAAGTTTCAGAGACGGTCGAGTTTGACAATATTAAGCGCAGTAGCACCAGTTCTGAAGATCCGCGGGCATGTTCATTCTCAGATCCAGCTGCTCACAATCGGAGATTGTTGTCCGACCCTATGCGAATGTCTTCAATTTCGCACGGCTTCTCCAGCCGGCGGGAATTCGGCTCTGCTGAGCTGGAGCACGATGGCCGGCAAAACGCAGGCACACCCCTATGGAAGCCTTTCCTGCCGTCGGCCGCATCCGGCGTCTGTTCATGGCATTCCTCCACTGTTTGCAGCACGAGGTGGCCCTCCACAACTTGACAAGGGATATTTAGCAAGGTGGCACCCTTCGCAAGAATGCACGAAGCATGCCCCAGCGGCGGGAACACGTGTCCATGCTCGGCCACCCTGTCAAAGAGTTCCGGTGCTTAAAGCTTTGCTGCTGCATTCGCCCTTCTCTTGCCTCGTGCTTTGCGAACCCGCTGTTTGCTGCTTAAGCAATGGCCCTGGGGGCCTAAGCCTCGACTTTATCCTCGCCGTCTTCGATCTTCAAGCTCAGTTCTGAGCCCTACGTCTTCTCACCGGGTTTCCATGGAGCATCCTGCCACAGGCCTTCTCCGACTCGCACGGCTTGCCTAGAGCCTCTGAGCACGCGCGGCCTGCCTCAGGTCAGTCCAGGCCTACATACATACTGGTAGATATCTTAGATAGCCTGTCTGCCCAGGTTATTCAGCAGCCTGAACTCCATGCCCTTGCAGCAGTTAGTGGCACCACGAACAGTTTGAATCTTGCCGATGCACACAGCCTATGCTAGGGCTCGGCCTCTCCCTCTAGCCGTCTCGCCTTCGGTGACTACAGATCCAACACGCTTGAAAAGAGGCCGCACGGGCCATTAGAAACAAATGACGCAGGACTGCAGGGTCCGCAGACTGCAATCTGAAGGGGGTTTCCGACAGTGGTAGACCTGAGCATTCCTGGAGCTGTTCAAATATTAGGATGGAGTGGTTCAATTCCTCATATGCTGATGATGCCGGACTGCAATTTCCCGTGGCCTCGCTATGCCTCGCTTCAACTCCCTGCTCAGTAACCGGCGGCATGCTTCCACCAAAACATGTAGCATCTGGCAAGCTATTCTGTGCGTCGGCTGGTTGCTGCGTCGTATCATGAATCGTGTGATCCATGGGCTCGCATCTCAAACATCTCGCTTTCCGGCAAAGGATTGCGAAGAAGGACCATAGGTATGTGCAACCCCGTTTCTGCAAACCCTGAACCTGACGTCCAAATCCTGCACCTCAATCCTTGACCAAAAGCTTAGAAGCCAATCCCTTGGACTGTTCCGCCTGGATTTCAGACGGTTGGTTACGGATGGTGATGACGGTGATGATGCTAATGACGACAGTGCAAAAGAAACGTAAGACGTAAAACCCAAGATGGTGTTGGTTGTGATAATGCTTGGATCATGACTTGTAATTAAGGACAACGTGAAAGCCCAGATTCACACGAAGAACAACAAGTTGATGAGTACCAGTAGGACTGCGATGGTCAGGATGATGGCAACGACTTGGCAACGACTGTCATCGCGGTCATCATCACCACCGCCACCGTCATCGTCATCATTACTATTAACATCCCCATCCTCACCGCCAGCACCACCAGCCCCCCCTTCAAGCCCCTTGAAGCCTTGTTCTTCAACATGCGCCCCCCAAGCCCCCCAAGCCCCCGGAGGCTTCAAGCTCCCTTCGAGAAGCCCCCCCTTTCTCAAGCTCCCCTTCGCCGAACTAGGAAAGATCATGCCTCTTAAGACCCAAGTAAGTACCACCCGCCTGGTTTGCGTGACCAAGACTATGGCAGCCCACTGCAGGGCCGCCCGCAGGCCCGCGCTCGGTGGCCCGTGGCAACGTAGAGATGCACCAGAAGTTCCAACAATAGCCAGCGCAGGTCCTCCGGGTGCCAGCACCAGCGTCGTCAGCTTCCGGGATTTCGAGACAGCAGAGTCCAGGATGCCATCGTCCATTAGCTGCGAGCATGGCCAGGTGCCTCTCCTCCAACGAGGCGTCGACTCGACCATTGCCGCTGGCTGTACAGGGTCTGCCATCCAGCTGTGATGAACAAATAGACCTCGGTCAGCAGTCGCGTCGAGCTGACCAACGGGAGGCTTAATGCGATCCCTGTGATGGGCTCCAGGCCTTCCGCCTGCTCACTGTACGAGGCGTGGGCAGGCGAGCAGAGACAGCCGCGAGGTTGGCGACAACCCTCCCTGTAGAGGCTGCCGGAATCGCTTGGATCGCCCGCGGTCTAGTAGTGAGCTCCGGGAACTAGAGACACCTTTGATTCTCAATGCCCGCCGCTACTGCGAGACACGGCACACTTATTGTCTTGACCCACCCCCAATACACAACAGGCGCGTGCTGGGAAGTCGTTGACCAATGCCCCTTCAGTGGGCGGAAACAAAGCACAAAAGAGGAGATGCGCCCACTCAATCCGTATCGTGATGATAGCTCCGTCCGGGACCTGCACCGCGACTCAGCTGAAAGGCCATCAAGCGTAGTATGGACCAAGCGCTGCAAGGCCCATGGCAAGTTGTGCGCAGCTGCAGTGCCACGGATGCCCACTGGCTCCCTGAAGAGCCTGTCCATGTAGGGTTCCCTGTACGGATAAGTAAGACCGACCCGGCAGCCTCAGTGACAGAGACGGACTCTGGATGCCCCTCCTGCGGGCAAAGCATATTCCCGTGGTTTTGCGCATTGGAAGCTGGGATTTTTGTGACAGTTGTCATCCTCCCCATTGAATCTCCATTGGGTAAGACAAAAACTGGCTCAGTTTGAGTTTCGAATTATGGGCCTCAGGCTGCATGCCATGCTGTTCCTCCGCACAAAAAGAAAGTGTGAACTGCACACCTTGTTCAGCTTTTACGTCTCACTTTTCCGGTTTCGGGGCTTGTATGCCGCCCGTCTCACTTTTTGATGTTTGCCGCTTCCAGAGGTTTGGTGTAGAGTGTCGACCGATTGCGATCCGCATGCTGTACCAAAGCCACAACGGTGACGTTAAGATTCGGCCGCTCAATGCTTTGCGTGTGGCTGAAAGGGCTTGTCTTCGCTGTGACGCTGTTGTGGTGAGCTATGCAGAAGTTACATGAGTTGCCACGCGTTCCACTCGTTATCCTAAGTTTTCGGCGTGCGGCAGGATGCGGAACCGAGCTACGGAAGGTTTATTTGGCATGCAACACGCAACGACATGCTGCATAAGCAAATGCGGCTTCTGCTCGAGAGAAGAAGCATAACTAGACTTTAACAATGGCTCCTCGAATCTGAGCTCCAATTTGGGGCCCCAGATTGCGTGAGCATGTATTTTCAATACAGAAAGCCAAAATCTGTGGCCCATTTTCGGTGCCCGGATTAAAGCTGCCTTATTGGAACCCGTTTCAGCTGCAAAACTGCACGGAGAAACAAGATTCCTTCTTCCACGTACTGTTGGAATCAACGTCCAAAAAGCAACACGCTGTGAAATATGAGTTGCTGGCTTAAACTTGCCTTTGGCTGCCGTTTCAAGACAAACGCTTCTTTTCTTGTTCGTGTAAGATCTTTCCCGCACAGTTCAGCGTACGAGGTGGGTTTCCAGGGGTAGTTTGAATTTGGGTTTTTTCCGGCTAGTTGAAGTTCTGGTCCGGGCTTTTCGGAATGGTCCAACTTCATGTGCCTGTCCCGTTGACGCAACAACGTTCGAGAATCCGCCAGCTTTTCTTGTTCAAACAGTAAGTGTCGAGCCATGAACTTGTGAAGTTGTTCTGCCAAAGGAACGACGACCATCATTGGCACGATAACTGTGTTGTAAAACTGCAAATTGATACGGTAAGCAGGCACATAGCATTTACTTACGTAGTTCGACATGTTTTTGGATAGGCATGTGCCCTCTTTGGTTGGTGCAGTGAGAAGCAAGTTCGTTGTAGAGCAGAAACAGAATGACAGAGAGGTCGGCAATGGTTTTTTCAAGTTGACACTGTAGTATTCCGAGAAGCGACCGCAGAGCAACCAAGAAGGGCTGCACAAGCTCAAAGCTCTCATGTGCCAAGAAATCGCACACTTGCGCGGCCCGAAGCCATGGGTGGCAAATATGGCGGCAAAGGCGGAGGACAGCACAGATGCGGCTTGACAGGTTCTCAATTAGGGGCTTGACGCCTTAGGATTGCAGTAGGCGGGTTAAATGTATGCACATGATTTCGAACGTCCAAATTAGGGCATTGATTAAGAGCCCAAATATATCTCGTGCTAATTGGGTCCTTGCATCCATGAAAGCACGGCCGCCATCTTCGCCGAAACGTGCGATTTTTCACGGCGAGCCCCCAGTCATAAGCTTGAAACGCAACGCCCATCGCCTAAAACCAGAAGTGTGAGCAAGAAATGATGGAAATGTAGAGTCAACTTACCTTCCATTTGGGGCCAGAGGTTTTGGAGTGACCGATGCCTGACGTTCACCGTAACGCTTAACCGTAAGCCTTCAACCCGAAATTCAACACGAAACCCTAAACCCTCAACCCTAAACCTAGACTTTATGAGGTTGTGCTTAATCAGTGGCCTTGATGCAGGGTTTAGGGCTTAAGGTTCAGGGATGTTTAGGGTTTGGGGTGATAAGTCCTCAAACATGAAGGTTTAGGGTTCTGAAACGTCGAGTTTTGGATTGTTTGGTGGTCACGGTTCACAGATGGGTACCTGGGGTTCGGGTTGACTTTTGTTGGGGGTTCAGGGGTATGGGCGAGTTTGAGACGTAGGGTTCAGAGGGGTTCAAGGTCAACATAGTGTTTGAGGAACTGGGGTCTGGGTCTAGAGTTCAAGGTTCGAGTTTTTGGGTTAAGACTCTTAAGACGTTTAGAGTTTAGGCTTTCGGAAAGATTGTTTGACACTCCACCAAGGCCCGAAATCGAAACGGCGAGCTTGTCTTTTGTCTCAAACTTCAAGCTTTCTCAGGCCTCCGTATCATTTCCACAGCATATTATCATACGTATTACTATATTCAAATATATCAAATTATAATAAAATCTGCTATACGATGTTGTAATATATTCTAATGTACGATAGCTGTTTATAGTGTATATTAATATGGAATATCATACTATAACATATTGTATCATATTGTATCATAATATACCTTACTATATCATGCTATATCATAACATTTCATAATATGTCATATAATATCAAAGTATATCATAGTATGTCATAGTATGTCATGTTATATCATAGTATGTCATAGTTTATCATAGCATATCATGTCATATTATATCATATCATCTTTTATTTATATCATATTACATAATAGTCTATCATATATTGTATCATATATTGTATCCTGATGTGTCATCTTATATCATAATTTACCATATTAAGTCATCATTGATCAGAATATATCATGTTATATCATCCTGTACCATATTATTTCACATCGTTTCATATCATGTTAAGATACATTACAACATATTAGCTTAAGCTTGATCATTCCATAAACTCTTAGAAAAGTGCTTTTTCAAGAATTGTTTCGATGTATTGGTATATTTAATATTTATCATGTCAACACAGTTTGCTACATAACACAGCATTATACAACATCTCACAACATGTTAAACCAGGTTCAAGCACATCACAGCATATGATATAACATCTTGTTACGTGTTGGTATAACATACTGCAACATACTGTGTCGCATTTAAATACGTTTTACCATATTATAACATATCACAACATATCATGGCACATTTGACGACATTATAACATATTAGAGCTTAGTACAACATAACATATCATATTTCAGCATATTATCACATAATATAACATGTTATAGCATATCACAACATATTATAACATATTATAACATATCATGACTTATCATAACATATCACAACATTCATGACATATTATAACATTTTTAACATTTCATACCATATCATAACATGTTGTAACATACTGTAGCAAATGATGACAAAGTATAGCATCTTGTAGCATATCACAAGATATTATAACCTATTAGAACAGATTAAAAACATATGTTCACATATTATAAGATTTTATCGCATTTTTTCACATATTGTAACATATTACAACATATAAGAAAATATTGTAGCATGTTACAACAAAATCTAACATATGATAGCATGTTTTATCATACATGTTATAACGTATTACAACATAATATGTCATATTATAGCATATCATGCCATATTAATACCTGTTATTATCCATTATAGCATAATGTGTCGTATTGAAACCTGTTATAACATGTTAAAACGTTGAGACATACTGTAATATGTTATAACAAGTTTCAACATGTTGTATCATTTCACAACATATTACAGCATGTTTTAGCATAGCACAGCATACTATACACAATTTCATAAACAAATATCGTAACATATGATATCATTCTATAGGAATTTAAATCACATTAAACACATTATAACAGACTTTAACATAATATAACATATGAAAATATACCATAACATATTTTAACATGTTTTAATGTGTTTTCAACATACTACAACACCTTTTAACATATTATTCATAACATATTATAACATGATACAACATATCATAGCATACTCTCACATGTTACAACACATTATAACATACTAAAATTTGTTATAACATATCATATCTTGCTATAGCATGTTAAAATTTATTATGACATGCGGTAAAATGTTGTAACGATCTACAACATACTATGACATATTATAACACACGATAACAATTCATAATATTTCCCAACATATTATTGCATATTATAGCATTTCACGGAATCTTTTCGTCATCTTATAACATATTACAACACACTATAATGGTTTCAGAACATAATGTAACATATTGTAATATGTTTTAACATATTGTACATCTTATAGCATATTTTATCGCATTTTCTTGCCATAACATATTACACCACGTTATAACATGTTTTAACATATTCACACATATTTTAACAGAATATAACATATCATGGCATGTTAATTTAATGTAGTTTACGACATACTCTAGCAGAGTATACAAGATTATATAATATAAGATACTCAAATATGCCAAAACTTGCTACAATATATTAGAACACATTAATTTATCCGATACTTTACTGTAGTATACCAGAATATACTATAATCCAAACATACTAATGTATGCTGGAATGCCCAAGATTTGAAGAGCGTGAGTTGTATACAAAACACGTTGCCGTAGCTTGATGAGCCCGCCCATGCCGCGAGGAGACAAAGGTGGATACGGCGGCTATGGTGGTGGGGCCGGTGGAGGTGGAAGTTACGGTGCCTCGAACTTGCTCAGAGTGAAGATGACACGGGGGAGATGAAATTTTCTGTTCGGCTGCTTGCTTCGCTTTCGAAGGCTTGACTGGTGCTCAGGTATGGTTGCTGTTGCTTGTTGGTGTTCCGTCTTACTCGTCAGGAGTCTGGAGCAGCTCAAAGGGCTCTACTTCAATGAACAGGAACCCCGCGAACAAAAGGTAAAAGCCCTCGGGAGACTAAGCAAAGCCATGCCAAGCGCTTTCCACTGGTTCGGGTGCAGGTTCAGATAATGCAGGGTTTAAGGTTGTTCCAGAAGAAAAAGCAGCTGAGACTGCACTCAGGTGTCCATAAGCCATAGAACAAAGGTGTGCCAGAGCTGGGATTTCTTATCCAACTAGCGAGCAAAGTACTGACACGACTTCTTAGATTTAGGCAAGAAGAGTTCATGAGTCTGGACCATACCGGGAATCATCAGCAACGGAATGTCCCACCACGATGATCATGTTCATATGGCCTTGCTTCTGCCGCGCCAAAGGGTGGTCGGCACCCAAAGCCGCTCCAGGTGTTGGTGGCGAGACGGAAGAGATGGAGGCATGTTTTGACATGTCACCGAAGATAGTGTCACCAAGGCTGCTTTCTGCACGTCTTTGTTGGGTTTCGGTCCGGATCCGCATGTTGGGGTTGCGTGGACGTGTAAGGCTTGGTCCTTCCTGTACAGGCTATATCACGATCTACTGCACGAAGTTTGCTTTCTTGTAGGCCGTTATGAAGCCTTCTGAGAGTTTCACCCAGAATACAGACGTAAATGGTAGGATCCTCATCCTAGGCATCCTTGAATAAGGTGCCCAGAGACTCCAAAGCCCCATAATTGAGCAATACACCTTAAATGATAGTGAGATCCCTAATATGATTTCAGGAATATTCCGTAATAAGGGATATTGGAGTCTCTGGGTACCCGGGGGTCCGAAACCCGAGCGGGTATCCGCAGGTCGATGACCGGGACATTGGACGGATTGTTGGGCGAGGTGGCTGCAACATCCGTGACCTGCAGGCCTATGCGTTAGGGCCCCAAGAAGGAAATAAGCATAAGCACGTTGTGCCTACTTGGGGTTTATATGCCATATCCCTATCCTTATTTGGAGGGTCGGGGGAGTTAGTAAGTAATTAGTTATATTATAGAGCTGTGAATACCATAACCCGAATTAGGATCTGTTTTAGGGTACTTATAACTCTACTTACTAGATGACTCTCTGGTGCTTAGTAGGAAATCGGGGAATGGATCCCTAATGGTAGTCCCTATATAATCCCCAATAGTAGTCCCCATAACCCACTCCCCAACTCCCCACTAAGAACGAGACAGATCAGGGCCCTCCCTGGTTGGTTGCGACAAGCAGCAGTCTGAGATGTCAAGCCCTAAACCCTAAATCTTAAACCCCAAAGCCTTAAGCCTTCAGCATCAGATTTAGGACCATTCGTGAGGATATACCATGTCTGTTTATCATCTAGTACTTCGCCTGGAGCTGCAAACCGTGGCAATGTCAACCACAATCTCCATGGCCCAGAACTGCACCCACCCAAGACCCGCAACTGTGTCGCGCATGGAAGAAACTCGTTCTCCAAATTCACAAGACATATAGTTTTACAACGGTGGGAATATAAGGCTTGGGGTTAAGGTGGAGCCTGTGGTGACAATCATAGGCCAAGCAGAACACCATTACAAACCCACCATCCCGCGAGCCTTAAACCCTAGACCTGAGATGTTGTACTCTTGCATCGGACGGGAAATTTCGCAGAGTCTATGCTGACGCATGGAATGTGCCATTCCCTGATAGTCTCACTGCAGCTTGTACACTCCACTTCTGCTCAGCTGAACTGTCTCTTGTCGTAAATTAAAGTCTCCTAAAACCGAAACTCTGAAGTCTCGTTGATGCATGCCATGCTGGACTCCCGACCAGGAAGGCACGAAATGCAAGATCATCACGCCCAACAAGAGAGGTGGCGCACATGCACTTAGAGGATCAGGGGACATAGTAAGCAGGGTTTGTATGGACAGTGTCTTTAAGCGCAATTACTTGTAACTTGCGTTCAGTTCTTTACAACCTTACTGAGGGCACGCATCTTACCAGCAATGTAGATTTCAGGTTTCTAATTCTACTCCTGCGCGTGACAAGTCCGAGCATGTTAGGTTCAGGGTTTAGGATCTCAGGTTCAGGCAGGTATAGGATTTCGAGCTTCAGGGCTTATGGGTTGAGGACCTGAGGACTTGCTTGCTTTAGGCTTGAAGGCTCTTTGCGTTCGAGGGTTGTCTGTTTGAGGGTTTTAGGGTCTTGGGATCATGGTGGGATCCAGGGTTCATGGCTTAGGAGGGGTCTTGTGGGCGCAGATACTCCACAGTTTCTTTCGGAGCGGCGATCAAGAATTGAGGGTGTAGGACTTCGGGACAACTTCGATGAGGGTATCTGTGACACCAGGAAGACCCTTGCTGATTTACTCTCTTCATACGTGTTGAACCCTGAACCCTGTAGAGTTTTCGGTTAGCAGTCATAACATGCGTAAACTCAACCACCTGTGAAGCCTCTCACTTTCGTGGTGGATGAACCTGCGCTTAGTACTGTGTGACGATCTAAGCCTTCGTGGCCACATGGTTTGTTCAAGGCACTAGACGAGCCCAGTTAGGCTTTGCGAGAGTACAAGCACCAGGCGGAGAAAGCGGATCAAGACTTCAAGGAACCCTATACCCTAAACGCTAAACCCCAAACCCTAAGCCCTAAACTCTAAACCCTAAGCCCTAGACCCTAAATCCTAAACCCTAAACCTAAGGTGCAAGGATGTTGGCTTTGGACCTGAGGTTTCCGGTTCCGGTGCAGAGCTCGCCCTAAGCCTTCAGCCTGTAGAAACAAACCCCGTCAGAAAGCTCTAGATCCTGACATTGCGTTTGACATCATTATCCTTATCCCTTGACCCTAGATCTTTACATCATTGTCCTTATCCCTTTACCCTAGATCTTTACATCATTGTCCTTATCCCTTTACCCTAGATCAACTTAGGGTCACACGGCCGGGTCTTTCCGAGGAGACAACGATGACCCCTCTCTGAGGAAGGTGCTGATCCAAGGCAGCAAAGAGCAGATCGCCAAGCCACGGCCCCAGCACCTGCCGGCACAGCGGGGGGAAGGCAAGGGGCTACACCGGTTCCTTTAAGGGATCTATAGGGTTCCTTAAAGGGATCTATGGGGTTTAGGGTTTAGGGTCTACTTGGAGGGGCAGGGGGACTTAGTAAGTAGGTTAGAAGTAGAGTTATATTTACCCTAAACGGAGTTACACGACTTATAAACGACTTACTAAGTCCCCTGCCCCTCCAAGTAAACCCCGAACCCCAAACAAAAAGCCTTAAATGTTCGACCCTAAACCTTAAACGCTAAGCCGCTAAGCCTTAAGCCCGGCACCTGAAAGATGAAACTCCCGACCCTAGACGATTGATCTGTGGGTTTGAGGGCTTGCTATTGTTATTATTTGTACCACTATTGTTATTTGGGATTTTCAGAAAATAGGGAACCCAAAAGAGTACCCTAAAAATCGAATGCTCCTTATTATAAGGACCCCACAAATTTCGGAAACTCCCATTTCGGGGGACTCAGAGGGGGGATTTGGGGTCTACTGAAGGGGCTTCAGGCTTCTTGAGGATTCTCGACTCAGGGTGCTGAAAAGGACCTTGCAGTGAGTTACGAGGACCCGGAGGAAGATTCTGCTAATAAGGATGAAAGGATTGTACTGTGGTCGTTTTATTGAGTTGTGGTACAAATTTTGTTGGGCTTCCTTGTTATCACCATCGTAAAATGCACGCCAGACTTTAGTCTGCATGTTAAGGCCTATATATTGCCGCCTAGACCCTAAACCCTTAAACCCTTAAACCCCTAAACCCCTAAACCCTGAACCCTTAAACCCCTAAACCCCTAAGCCCCACCCCCCAGGTGCAAGGAGGCCATCAACGGTGTCCTCATGGGCGAGGAGCCGAAGGACCGGCTGGGCGGGTTGTGGTTCAATCTTAGGGTTTATGGTTCAGGGTTTAGGGTTTAGGGTTTAGTGGGTTTAGGGTTGTGGGGTTTAGGGTTCAGGGTTTGGGGTGTGGTGGCTTTAGGGTTTAGGGTTTAGGGTGTGGTGGGTTTAGGGTTCAGGGTTTAGGGTTTAGCGTATATGGTTCAGGGTTTAGGGTGTGGTGTAGAGGCCTTTCAAGGATCGCTAAGGGGATCTGTAAGGGTTCTATAAGCGATCTATACGGTTTCTACAGTAACAAGAGTTCTGTAAGGGATCTACAATAAGGCTTCCATAAGGGACTTACACGGCTTTTCAGGGTTATATAAGGGTTCTATCAGGGTTGAGGGTTCAATATAGAGGCCTGAGTGATTATAAACAAGTATTGCTATTCCTCAGGACTCCTTGCTATAAGTTTACCATAATACGCACCAAAGTCAGTCTTATGATTAAGGCCCCCATGGTAAGATGTTAGCGTCCTTTTCGGTGCTTCTACAGGTCACCCTTGTAGAGACAGTACTTTCCCTTGTTTCATTAGATGCCTTCGTTACAAAACGATGTGAAGGTTATGCTAGTAAGCTAGCAGTAGCTTGATCCATTCAAAACCCTCGACGGCCCTGAACACTAGACGGCCTTTGCCCGCGAGATATCGAGAGGACGTGTTGGCGCAGATTGATGGTGCGGTCATCATCAAGAGCTTCGGCCCACATCCTTCAATTCCCCAATTCCCGAAGATGGGGGTTGTGATGGGGGTTGTAGAGTTTGCATGATCCGTGTGGTTTCGGATTTATATCATGTTGGTTCAGATTGTGGGCTCGGGAGTAGTTGTCTTAAGGAATTCGGTTTCAACGTGATGGCGTCCTAGCCCCAGAGCCCCAGGCCTCAACCGTCCTCCCCCAACTGTGAAACGAGTGCACCAGTCCCAAGCTTTCGTACTGGGCTTAGTTGCAATCAGTTGCAGAGAGAGTAACCCCCTACCCTCGCCCCCCTGGTAAGGGAACGCGAAACCATAAACCCCAGGCTACTGTATAACCTAAACTCTAGACCCTTAGAACCCTGAACTCAGATAGTGAACCGGGGAATTTTAAACTTTTTGGCCTTATATATTCGGTCTATCTTAGAACGTTTGAACCTTTTGGGGCCCAGTTATTGAAGGGAGAGTGAAAGGGACCACGGCACGAACCCTAAGTCCTGCACCGCTAGACCACTTGTCTCAAACTCCGAACCTCAGAGCCTCGTCGAAGAGCTACGGAACACCGCGAAGGGGACTTAAGTAACTAGGGTTCCTTAAAGGGAAGGGTTCCTTGAAGAGTTCCTTATAGGGCTCATGAAAGTTTTCACTATCGGGGTCCTCAGAGGGTTCCTTAGAGGATTCCTGCAAGGGTTCTTCAGACAGGTCCCTTAACACGTTTCAAGGATCAAGGGATTTAAGTAAGCGGGTTATGAGCACCGTAACTATAGCTGCAACTACTAAGATCCCAAACGGAGTTACCTATATCCCTAAACTAGGTGCTGGACACGCATGCTCATCCGGAGAAAAGGGCAATTGAATTTAGAAAGAACTCTTAAACCCTAAATCCCACACCCCAAAGCCTTACTTCCTGAGCCTTTTGATTCTCCAACGTAAGGAACATTGAGCCGATGTCCATGGGCCATCTTGCGAAGATCAAAAGAAGCTCGGCTAGGGGTTCAAGGTTGCTTAAAGGGATGCCTTTTTGGGGGTCCTTTTTAGATTCTTTGCTAAGGAGTTTAGGTTTCAGGTCTTTGTTTTGGGGTCCCTTTAAAGGGCTCCTTGAAGGGATCTATAATGGTTTCTAAAGGGTCCCTCTTTAAGGGTACTGAAACGGGCCTCAGATTCGAACGGCTTTTTGCAGGGTTCCTTAGAACTTTAGGTGGTTTAGGGCTTTTCAGGGTTTAGGAGTGTGGTGGTTCAGTGTTTAGGGCTGTAGGTTTGGATGGTTTTGGGAGTTGTGTGGTTCGGTGATTTGACGCTTATCCAGGTTTAGTACGAAATGCCGGGCATGCTTTCGGAGCCTCTCAGGGTGACTGCAATACGGGAGTTTCAGAAGATGAGGGGTGCCTTATTTTGGGGTCTTTATAATAAAGATCCTATTATTTGGGTACTATATTAACGTCACCTATTTTCGGAAACAAACGTTCACATTCACCCTAAACCCTAAACCCTAGACCCCAAATTTGAAATCAATTTCAGGACGACCGGAAAGAAAGAAGGAGCTTAGGAAGCGAAAGTACCTGCAGGGACAGACGGGTTTCTTTTTTAGGGTTTAAGGTTTGAGGCTTAAGGTTCAGGGTTTAGGCCAAAGTGTAGGCCTTTGGAGAATCACTGCTGTCGGGAGACATCTTATATGCAAGAGGGGAAAGAATCAGAATTACGAATGGCAGTCGTGCTCGCGAGTCCTCAACTGGTGGAAGCTCAGAGACACCTTCGACGTATGGACCTCACATCCGCCAGCGCAAAGGGATGTCCGGAAAATACTCCGGGAGATGATGCGAGAATGCGAGGGTGTTATGGAAGCATCTATCCGCCCAGCGGTCCAACTACTCTGGAAGATGTATGTCTTAAAATTACGCGTAGCCCTGCTTGGAGGGCAGGGGACATAGTAAGTAGGTTAGAAGTAGAGTTATAAGTCCCCTAAATGGAGTTGCCCCAATTATAACCCTACTTAAAACCGACTTACTAGGTCCCCTGGGCCTCCAAGTAGACTGTAAGCCGAACATTATATCGAAGCTACAAGCTAAAGCCTGAACCGTTTATTATTGGCTCAGTATTTCAACCGGTTCTATAGTTACCCTAAGCTCTAAATCCTAAATGCTAAACCCTAAACCCTAGGGGGTTTGGGAAGACCTGAAAAACGATTACCTATACTTTTTTGGGGTTCCTTGTTATAGTTATAGTATCATGGGCCCCAAAACCCTGCTCTAATTATTCAGGCCCCTGTATTATGTGTCTAGCAAGAGTTAGCATTGAGGGTATGGCAGTTGGGGTTTTGGGTTACTGTAAAGGCCTTCAATTGGTTCTAGATGGGTTGGGGTTTTGGGTTCAGGGTTCTTTTGTAGCTTTTTTTCAGTTGTTCCTGTGGGAGCAGGGGTTTCGGTTTGTCAGGTAAAGCCGGGCTCTTTGTTGTTTTAGGGCTCAGGGCTTTGAGTGGAGAGAGTGAGTGAGTAGATGCTTGTGTTGGGATTATTCGATGAATAGAAGCTTGCATTAGGGGTTTGTGTTTGGGATTTCTCCATTATCGCTTTGCTAGGGAACTCGAAGAATTAGACGTACTACCTCTCCAGGCAGCTACATGAAAGAAGAACTGGCAACTCAGGATCCCTCAAGGAACCCTTCAACGAACCCTGAAATGGTTGGTGATATAAATCCTGCATTACCCATAGTAAGGAATATACCATACTTCCCATAGTTAAGGGTCCTTAAGGTAATGCAGGATTTATATATCATCAACAGAAGGAGGCCTGGAAGGACGTGCTAAAGGAGCAGCACCCTCCTCCCAAAGTATGCGAGGGCATCCTCCGCTTTCCATTCTAAACCCAACCCGAAACCCTAAGCCCTAAACCCAAAGTCCTAAATCCGAAACCTTCCGTTCCGAACATATATCTTAGACGCAGGATTCCCAGAGACTCCAAAACCCTTTCATTAAGGAATGGACCTTAAATGATAGTAGGATCCCTAATCTGATTAAAGGAATATTCCTTCATCAAGGGTTTTTGGAGTCGCTGGGTTCCTTAACCTCGAGGCCCAAAATAATAGACCTGGAATTCCTGAGCACCACAATCCCATATGCATCCTAGACCTTGGGTTCTTGCGCCCCCAAATTCTAAACTCCTAAACCCAAGACTCTAAAACCTTCACCCAAAACCCAAAACCCTGAAACCCCTAGATCCCAGTCCCTAAAAGCCCCGAAGTCCTGAACCCTAACACCCCAAAGTCCTAAAGCCCAAATCCATAAAGACTCGAACCTTTCTAAGAGCCCAGGGGACTTAGTAGGTAGGTTATAAGTAGAGTTATAGGTACTCTAAATGGAGTTACCCCAAATGGTAACCATGCTTGTAACCGACTTGCTAAGTCCCATGGGCCTCCAAGTACACTGTAAGCCGAACATTATACGGGAGTTTCCGAAAATTAGGGGTACCATATTTTGGGGTCCTTCGAATAAGGATCCTACCATTTAGGCTACTATATTGGGGTCCCCTATTTTCCAAGGCAAGATCGAGGAGGAGATGAAGGTCCGGATAGAGCCCGGGCCCTTTTTGACTACGCAGGGCTTCCGGTTTAATGTAGGAACCTGATTAATAAACCTTGCCCCTTTATTAGGCTTCCTTCTATGAATCCTACATTAGGGTTTAAGTCTTTGTTGTTGGTTTTGGGGTTTAGGGTTGAGGTTTGGGTTTAGGGTTGTAGGGGTTAGGGTTTAGGGTTTTGGGGTTAGGTTTAGGGTGTTAGGGTGTTAGGGTTTAGGGTTTTGGGGTTTAGGTTTAGGGTTTCAGGGTTCAGTGTGTTGAGGTTTAGGTTTTGAGACTTCGGGGGTTTTGAGACTTGGGGGGGCCGGTTTTTTTAGCCGTTTCGTAATGATGGGGATTAATGTCGGGACCTGGCCCTATAACCCCCAAATAGTAGGATCCATTAAACGAACCCTAATAAAGGCACAGGGTTTTCTTAATCAGGTTCGTATATTAGTACTTAGGCGTTTTGGGGTTCAAGGGTTTCAGTTTCGAACTACGGGTTCTTTGGGGTTTAGGGTTCAGGGTTCAGGGTTCGGGTTCAGGGTTTAGGGTTCTTTGGGGTTTCAGTTTCAAACTAAGGGTTCTTGAAAGGGCACGGTTGGCTTTCAAACTACCCGAAACCCTCTAGCCCTTCACACGAAAAGCCTTTCGCCCGAACCCTCCATACACCCCTTACACCCTAAACTCTTGGTGCCAAGCATGACAAACCGAACCCTAACCCCTTAATCCCTTCATAGAATCCTTGTAGATCCCGAAATGTACCGTGTAAACCCGAAGCCGCTGCCTAGGCTGGACGCGAGGTCCGCTCGAATCTGGGGCAACGACAACGATCACGACAAGGCATCCCTTTTAGGGTCTAGGGCCTTAAACCTTTAAGGGTTCAGGGTTTGGGGTTGAAGGGTTTAGGGTTTAAGGGTTTAAGGGTTTAGGGTTTAAGGGTTTAGGGTTCAGCTAAAGTCTCTAGCGTAGTTCAATTTAAGGGCGACCTTGTAGGATTTAACTGGCTCGGCAAAGAGGAATAACCATGGAGACTATAGGTGGGGCTTAGGGTTTAGTGTTCAGGACTTCAGGATTTAGGGTTTACGGTTGATTTCCCTAAATCCTAGATTCCAAACTCTTAACCCAACTCAAACCCTCAAAGCAGTAGTTTATGAATCTCATATTCTCGGCTATATCATCCCCCCCAACAAAAAACAGCAGGGTCTTCGATCCCCAGATAGGATTTACCTCAGGGTTTCCTGACCGGCGGTTTCCGAGCCTAGTTTGAGGTTTCAGGTTTGGCGGTATAGGGTTCAGGGCTTGAGGGTTTAGGGTTGAGGGTTCAGCGTCGGTTTTAGGAATTGGGTTTTCAAACCGTGCACCCCAAAGCCAGAATGCCGCTTTGGGGTTTCAGATGCTTTTTGAGTAGTGACTTTCATAGGGATCCTTAGGGGTGTAGGGAGAGGGGGGGTAGGGGGCCTTAAGGCCCATAATAAGGACTAATAAGGCCTTTTTAAGGAAATATAGTCCCCTACACCCCTCC